CCAATAAGGTATAAGAGTATAAACTATTCCCTATACCTTTGGTTGAGAAGTTCCTAGAGAATATTTTTCTAAAAATATTCTTAAGGATAACTCAACAACACTACGCCGGACAACGCGTCGCAAATGAGAACTCAACGCCAACAATTGATGGTCAGTTCTAGGTTGAACCAACAAACACGAGCTAAAGATTAGAAAATCAGGAATCGACTTCAAGTTTAAAATTCCGACAACGGTCAGACAATAAATGCAGCACCGGAACTCTTACAGACATTCGATAAAGCACCGAATAGCCTGAAGGATTGAAGGAATCAAGAACAGAAGCCATTCCAAGGTCCCGTTACACCGACTGAAGATTGGGACAATCATATCCAAAGTATTCCAGACTCTTCTATAAAAGAACGAGACTGAAATACTTTGGAGGGGGTATCTGTAGGCGTATAAAATTGCTTATAGGTCCCTTAGCACAGCTCGGCACAAACCGACGAACCATCGGGCGACGTATCCAAACACGAGCGTCAGTCCACAACGCCAAAGCCAAGTGACACGCAACGAAGCAGATTAACGAGGCGACGAGGCTAACGAACCGTATGCAAACAATGAAATACATCCATTCGCATGCGGAATCAAGCTAACAGTTCGGTGAGTCAACGAGTCATCCAACCATAGAACGGATTTGAACTCAAACACCGAGGCGGATTTACTGCCATATTGGGATTCGGACTGTCAATTTAGAATCCGAATCAACAACGAAGCGGGTTTACTGCCAAATCAGGATTCAGATTAACAAATCAGAGTCTAAATCAACCATGAGACCGGAAAAAACGGCGAAAACCACAACACCTAGGGGACTCGGCCAAAACCGAGCCACCTATAGGTGGCTCGGCCAAAGCCGAGCCGAACGCCAGGTAGCTCGGACGGCCGAGCGCACTTATGGGTGCATCGGCGCAAAGGCCAGAGCCACTATAGGTGGCCGGCCAGATCTGTGCCCGGGCAAAAGATCTGAGAGGCCTATAAATAGGCCTTGAGTGTTCATTTTGGGGTGGAACTTTTAGAGCCAAACTCATGCCGAATTTAGAACCAACTTTGGAGTTTTGAAGACTTGAAGACATGGACATTCAGATCTGGTTCTTGGCGAGCATTCACGTCACAAAAGGCAGGAGTTCGAGAGAGAGAGATCAGATCTCAGATCTACGTAGTCATCCTCCGGATCAAAGCTTGGCCTTTGATCCCGAGAACTAGGGCGATTATTTCCTTGGTGATGTAATCCCCCCCGGCTATTATTTCCTTTGCGAAATAATATCCGTCGTACTGTGTAGATCTAGATCCGGATCTAGATCGCACGGTAGTCCACGGATAAACCCCGGCGCAGGCGAAGAACCTACCAAAACGAGTGACCGCAAAACAGGAGCTCGTCATTCGTTCGAAAAGAAAGTTGAAATTTTTTTTATTTCTTTTTCTTTGATTTCATTGTAACCGGATCTTATAAAAAGACCGGATCGTTTGTAATAAAAAAGCAATTACTTGAGAAAACAATAACGTCAATGAAGAACACAATTTTTCCCGCGAACACGCCCCTCTCGCTGCGCCTCCTGCTCCAGCGTGAAGAGCGGGCGAAGCGGATTCGGGCGAAGGAGATCGAGCTCCAACGTCTACACAAGCAACACCAAGCGGTGCTGGACCGGATGGACGCCTATTTGGACGCTGCTTTCTTTGAGGACGCCGGCTCTCTCCGCGGCGAGGTAAAGCTTCGGGAGCGTGAATGTGAGGCAAGGAGGCTCAGCGAGGCTACCAGAACGGCGGACCAGGCGCTCCAACTTCTTCGCCAGGAGGAAGAAGACAGCGAGGTGGCCTTAGCCAGGCGGTAGCAGGAGCAAAAGGAGAAGGCTAGGATCCGGTGTCAGGCGGACCGTGCGGCGGTCAAGGCCAAGATTGGTTCTTTCAGTCTGCTGAAATTCCTATAATGCTCATGCTGTCTAAGTCCTCTCTCTTTTTTTTTTCGTTGTTTTGTTAACTTAGTTGGTGCCTCGGGCATCACAACTTGAAAACCTATGCATGTAAACTCTGGCCCGTAATGGCCTTTAGCTTTTGCTTATTTTTGCTTAGTATTCACAGTTTTCTTTCTTTGTCTGCGCTGTTTGGTATTTGAGTCGAACTTGGCGAGCCTCTGACTATCTTGTTTTGGATTTAGTCGTTCTAGGCTCTCGTTCTACCCTCGGTTGCACACAGCGTGGGATCGGGTTAACTCTGATTTTGCGTTGTAGCAGGGGATCAAGAGAGTAACACTTGTCTTGCAGCGAAGAACAATTGTTCGTTCATGCGGCCAACTGAAGAACCCAACTTTGGCTCGCCA